TAACTATCTTTCCATCCAACACAACACTTTGGTTATCAAAAAGAGATTCAAAAAAAGTTAATATCAAAAAGAGCTACTAAAGAATCAGTTAAAACCGCAACTCTTAAGACCTTAGTGACGACAAGCTTTATCATTTTTTTCAAATGGAGAATAATGAGTTTGAGAATGATGAGAAGTCGGTCACAAATGATGTTGATATTATAGATGTTATAAACAAAGAGCCAGCCATCAAGACTATTATCCCATCAACAAATGCAAAAAAAAAAAAAAAATGTTGGCTTACTTATATAGTGCAAGAAGCAAGGGAGACTTTACTCTTCAAAAACCTACTTCGATCAGTAGGGGGAGTCTCAAGATCATGTTGAGGAGATGATGAAAGAATATGAAACTCAAAGATGGCAAGTTATTAGGAGATGCTGACTATAGATGATGCGCAAATAATTATTTATGCAACCTAAATTAGGATATTTTTTTATGAAAATTGCATCATTGAAGAAAGTAATTGCGACCCTTAAAACCACTATTAAGTTTGAGAAGTTGAAAGTTTCTTCTCAAGAACTTGACTAGCAGTAGTCGAATGAAGTTGAGGCTCAAATCAATTTGTATACAAGTAGAAGTAGATCTTCCTCAATTGCATAACCGGAAGGTTTTTCTAATAGATTTGTGAAGAAGTCAAATAAGTTAAAAGACTCGAGTAATATTGATGAGGAAGATCTCATAGAAAGATTAACATCCACTGCACAGTCTTATTCCATGTTGTCAACAAAGCTCTTATCTACACTGTTTTCATTACCTGAAGGCCATCTAATATGCACCGACTAAAATTCAAGATTAATTAGACCGTATGGAAAGGGAATGATGCAATTAAAACTAGTTAAATACAAAAGTAGCAATGATAAGGCATTCAAAGAAAATTTCACATTATAGGAATTAAGAATTATATAGTGTGGTTCCAATTGAGATCAATGAATGGCTAAACACCAAGGCATTCAAATATTTAACACTATCACATCATGGTATGTTGATTAAATTTTATAACAATACATAAAATTTAAGAATTACAAGACAATTCAACTCGACTTCATTATTCACACGCTATACTACATATGCATATTCTCTTCTTTGAATGTGGTCGGAAGGACCGTAGTTGGGGCGATATTGGTCAGAAGGACCGTAGTCGGGCAACGATCATCGGAGTGGACTGTAATACGTTGGTTGGAGGAAAGCTCATTAGTGGATTCCATATGGATGTTAGACGGTCATTGTCGATTAGAGGTTCATCAACAGAGGCCTGGTGGTGCATATATATCAGCGATGGTGCCGGGGTGAAGCTCCAGGATTCTTCAAGATCCAAAGCTCTTCTCTTCTTCGTCCTTCTTTCTCCCTCTCCCCAAGTGAAGAATGAGATGTCTATTTATTATTTTCTTAGAGTGCATTGCTAGTAAATAGGGAGAAGATCAAGGGCAAATTTGGCGTGCTCCAACAAATGGCTCATGTTGATTCATTTGATCATGGAGTGTTTACCAAGATTTATGTGCCAAAATGATGTCATAATTAGGCAATCTTGGACTCATCGAGCCACTCGATTTGATTATAAGCATGCTACATTTGGATATTATTTGGTCATCCAATTTATATTTTTAACCTTTCAAATGTGTTTTAGACCCTCTATTTGGACCCATTTGAATTCGGATTTGACCGATTTTGGTATATTTAAGTTCGTATCTTCAAGAAGTTATGTTTGAATATCATTTTGTTGAAATCTAAGTTCGGATGGTCCCATATTTAATTTTTAAAGTTTTTAATACATATTTGTATTGAAATTTGTGTCCGATCAAAATAATTTTTTGATGACATATCACATACAAAGAAAACTGGTTAGCCAAGCCTCAATAAAAGAAACATACTTTGATGACAGATTAATACATACATAACACTAGAGTGTAACAAAGCTCATCATTCCAAAGCAACGTTATGGCCTTATGGGCTGATGGAAATTGGTCATCCCAAGGGATTTCATAAAGAAGCACAGTTTTAGAGATTTAAATGGCATTGAGTGTAGAAAAGAATACAGAAATAAGAGAGATAAATTTATAGATCACCAATCAAAAGACTTATTAAATCCATTTTAGAAGTAAACAAAAGCAATTACTGATAATATCAACTTCTCAGGCTTTGTTTGTTTGAGCGTTTTTTTATCTTTTCCGTTTTTGGAAATGGAGGAATTTTTGTTTGTGTTGTTTGATTCGTCAAATCGCGTTCCCAATAACTCCTTTTTTTTATTTTTCTGCAGTTTTGAGAAAACTTTTTATATATACTTCTCCGTTAGAAAACTCCATTTTCTAAACTAATGTTTTTAAAATTGTCTTTTACAAAAGCACCAAAAAAACAAGTGAAGCCTCAGTATAGTAAATATAAGCATTTATTGTGTTTTATCCATTGAGTTCGTAAGTGTGGCTCGTTGGTTGAGCGAAACACTTCTTTCTCATAATCTCAAGTTCAAATCTCCTAATCTGCCCCTCAGAAATTTAACATGAGTTTTATGATCAATTTATGCATAAAAAATATCTCCCCACATAAGCCAACGAACATGAGACAAGAGAAGAACATGGACGCAGCCGAGCGGTCCTTATCAAAAGAGGAGGCCAAGACCGACAAATACCTTCCTGATTGCACCCTACGCCCAGCGCACGACGCTGAGAGCTCGCTCACTCTGTTCCCTCAATATTAGTGGCCAAGCACTTCCACTTGACCCACTCACCAGCTCTGCATTTCTCCAATTCCATAATTCCACGTTCCATTTCTGCTTGGCCGACGACCTTTCCACGCCCGCACCCCAGACCCCACCCACGTGACCACCTGCTTTTGTGCTTGGGTCCCGCCACTTTTAAAGTTTATTTATTAATTCTCCACTATTTTATATTAGCCGGTCAACAGATCCAGGAAATGGGAAGGGGTTAAGCTTTGTTAAGAGGTGGTAGGTAGCGTTATAGTACCAAAGCGGCTCCATTAATTGCTGGGAAGGGTTTGGACTGGGCAATTTCGAGCGCTACTTTCTTAGAGATGTCTCTCTCCCTTTGATCTGCTTAAGGTTCGAAGTAAAGAAGAGTGCACCGCATTTATTATGTTCAAAGAGTGGCCCAAATGAGTTGTTGTTCTCGATGTAACAAACTACTTATTTCTGCACTTAATTTGATCGACTTTTTTGGTTGATGTACAACCCGTCATAGAAGTTCTATGTGGACAGGGAAATTTGCAGAAAATTAAAAAAAAAAAAAAAAATCTGACTGAGATAATGAAGATAATGTGAATCTCTGTACAAAGAATAAACTATACAAAATAAATAAATAAATAATTTTTTAATGCCTTGTGGGGTATTTAGATATTAGCGGGGACCAAATTTTATTTTTTTTGGCATTTTATAAAGAAAAATAAATACATAAAATAAATTTTTGTACATTTAAAATTCCTTAAAATTTGCATTATTCTTGTATTTAAAATCACTAGAATCAAGTGATCACTAAGGTTCTCTTGTTTAAGAAAACAATAAGAACGCTATAACAAACAAAGACAAAATTTCACATTGTGAATCCTACTAGCCACCATCACCAAATTACCCACCTCTACTGAATTTCAATACATTTGAAAATATATTATAGCAAACAAAAACCTATTCATTTAATTTATATTAAATAAATAACTAAAAAAATATCAAATAAATAACTATGATATTTTCACAATACATTCTATTATTAAAGTAAATGTATTTTAAAAACATCTAACCACCACTCAAAGATAAAAAAATTACAGAAAAATAATATAAAATAAATTTAACATGGCATGCAATGTTATGCTAAAATAATAAAATAATATGAAGCTTTACAAAACAGATCCCAAGTAGTTAAGATTGGACCATCGACAGCAATGATAACATACTTGAAAAAAAAAACCATGTTAGAAAGGAGTATAATATCATTTAGAATAACAAATTTAACATCTCTATTTTGGCATTTATCAACAAAATCTTAGACGCCAAATTTAAGCAACAAAAAAAAAATATTAGAAGATTATTATTTAAGGAGATTGGCCAACAAAAATTTTGATCTGCACATGTTAGCCAACCAAATAGGAATGTTTGCCAGCCAACTAAGTAAAAAGAAATGCTTATTGGTGTAAAAAGGATGCCAGAAAAAACATCAAATGAGAATATGAGATGAAGATTGAAGATCAAATATGCATAAGATAGAAACTTCATTCCACTTTATGTTTTCGGTAAAATTTATCCACCATTGCAGGCTTGCAGCATTACTCTATAACCAGATTACCCTCATATAGGTTGGTAGTTCCACTGTTTCTTATTTCATATAGCTTGGAAGCTATCAAAACTAAATTGAGCAGATACAGATAGAGAGAGATACGGTGTCCCCCGACTCGCTTTCTCACACAATCTCTCTCTCTCTCTCTCTCTCTACAAGCCCGTCGTGCTCTTTATTTTTACTAAAACAAGTGCGTTCTGTCGCACTCAAGGATTATATAACTAAAATCAAGAATGGGAAACTTCAACAAAAAAGAATGAGAGAGAAAGGGTATGTACGGAAAAAGGATTTCCTGACTGACATGAACTTTGACCTATGAAGAGAAATAGAAGCGTAGAGACTGATAGAAAGAGAAACAAAGAGGATGGGCTACAGATGCACGAATTCCGAAGCACCAGCGTTTTTCTTAAATATTTTATAAATATAGGCAAAATTGAACCCCCAAAGGCCAAATTTTAACTTGGAAAACTTGCATGAAATAAACTGTAGCGCTTAAGCCCTTTCTTGGCCTTCCTGGAATGTCTAGAGAATAGGAACGAATTTTCCTTTCTTCCTCTCTTGCCCTTGTAAGCAGGGTGGCAGAGCCTGTCAAAGAGCAGCGGTGGCCAGCCCCCGGCCCACCTTCGCCACTTCAAAAGTGAGCATACCAGAATTAGGGCAAATAGGGAAAAATAGCGAAAGAAGGGGGGAGAATATGGTAAATGAATATAAGAGAATAAATTATTGGCAGAGATACAGAAAGAGCATATCGGATCGGCCCCTGCATCTTCGTTGTAACGCTTTACACTCCTTTTGATGCGCTCTCTCCCTCTCTCTCTCACAGAAGAAATCAAACACGCACATTACACTCCAACTCTACAAATTCTTATTACAGCAAAGCTTTGCTTTTTTACCACTTCCAACAAGGCGCTCTGCTGCGTCTCTGCAAAAGGGCTACAACCTCCTAAGACGAATATAATTCTGCAAAAGAGAAAACAACCGCACAATGGTGGGAGGAGAAAAAGAGAGTAGGGGTCCATGGTGAGAAATGAAAGGTTAGATTGTGAAATATTTTAAATAATATAATAATATAATCATAATAATCCACCCATCATAATCATCATCATCATCATCGGCCACATCCTCATCTCATAATCATACTTCTTTTCTGTACATCCGCATTATTCAAATTGCCAAAACGCCAAAACAAAAGCTTTCCTTTGCCCTCCCCCCTCCCTATTCAAACAGCAATATCGCCCTATTACTTTTCCTTACTGTAGCATCGTTCTCCAAACGGGAAAACTTAAAAAGTTTAAAAAATTAACAAAAAAAATGTCCCACGAACCTCCCTCCCCCCAAATTTGGCATGTACAGTCTCACTCACCTCCATGGCTGAGCTTCAAAAATCAGCCCCGCTCACCGATTGCAGTAGCGTAACACTCGCTGCCGGTTATGAAGCCTTGGCTTTCTCATCATTTCTATATTGGCTTTCCATCGATGAGGTTGGAATCATGTTGGTTCCCATCATCAACTTGTAAAAATAACTGGCATAATCTCTACTTCCTTTTTGATCAATCATCGTCTTCCTTGAAGACTCTGCTGATGAAATCTCGAAATCTTCTCGAGTAAAGCTTTGGGTCCACAGCTGAGATGGAAGTGGGATCAACTTGCAGCGACTTGTATGCGTGTTCGAGTTTCTTACTGATATCGTAATCTTGAAGAATGTCAATCACTCCAAAATAGAGGATGACTTCGTAGACTTCGCCGTTTCGAGCGGGAGGCATTAGAAGGCCGCCACCAGCAATAGGGGAATGATCCGAGTCGCTCCACCTCAACACGTACTCAGCCCTCGCTGGCATATTTGCGCCCAGACGAATCGGCTGTTTTCTGTATCCAAAATATAAAAGTAGATTAGGTAATAATGAACGAGTAATATGGAAACAATCGGATCATGAAATCTATCCAAGATTTATTTGACGAGTTCTTTGTTTGCATTAAAAAGGACTGGGGAATATGGACACGAATAAACAAGTAGGGGCCACAATGATGCAACGTTCATCTCATGCATGCTAGGAAGACGGCAATTAACTTGCATAATTATGAGAATTAATCATTATTAAAATTAAAAAAATACTTCTCGTTGGTTGATGAAGCATGGAACCCGCCGATTAATATTGATATTCTAAATTAAAAATATTTCTATAGAAATTAGGCAAATTTACTAGAATAACAGCTACTTGCAACTTTAATTGAAAAACGATCGCACACCAAAGCGGTAATAAATAATAAACCAAGTGGCTTCATGGATATAACAATAAATAGGCGTCCAAAAGTGTCTGTATATGATAAGTTTTTGGAAATAAATCGATGAGACGAAACAAAAAAAAAACAAGAGGAAAACAGCTGAAAAAACGCCATGATTTATTAGGGAAAAACTCAAAAATGGGAAAAAAATCATAGGGCTGCAACACACCAAGAAATTCATGATGAAAATCGAGAGAAGTTGTACAAATATCTCTTCTCATTCCCACTCTTTTGTCTGTTTTCACTTTACCCAGAATTATCTACTCAAAACAAATAAGACACGAACTTAAAACATTCAAATGACGCAACCCCTTCAAATGAAATAAGAAATAAGATAAACTACTTAGCCCAACTCAAAGCGCCATGACACAGGGGCTGGAGCATCACTCACTTTGCATTCTATCTCCAGCCCGAACCTGATGCACTGCAGCAATCAAAACTACAGTGCAGCGACACTAGAAAACTGTATAGGTTGTAAGTTTTATAAGTCAATAGTACAACCCATAACACAATTGGATATCACATGAGGCTAACAAAATTTTTTCAAGTGCTCTGTTTAGGGAAGGTTTATATATCCATAGAAAACAGGTGCAAAGATACTACCTACTTTAGCCTGATGGTTGAGTGATTTGGCTCTAATCACAAAGTCCTGAGTTGACGACCTACTATGTAAAGGTATGTGCATGAATTTATGATTAAATAATAAAAACAAGCCACAAGGTGTGAGAGTTGTGAGCATTAGGTTAACTTCTAGTAATAGTTGAAAATATATATTAATCTAGAAATACCTAGTGGTAGGGTCTCTATCTTAAGATAAAATTTTTAGGTTAAAAATAAGTTTAATCATGAGGGTCTCTAACTAAATTTTAATGCTCTTTAATTCATAATTCCTAACAAAAGCACATTGGCTCATGAGACTTCGTTACTATATAGAGTATAGTTCAAAGTGACTCTTACAAAAGCACCACATTATTAATTTAGCTTCTTTTGCATAATATTCGAAGATCTTATAAAGATTCAATTTGGCCAATATATATAGATGTGGAGAACTTTTCTAAGATAGTTCGTTTAGAGAAGTTTGGCATCCATCTAGATCAAGTATAGTGTGTTAAGGGACATGAGTATTAAATTTAATCCCACAAGAGAATTTAAAAAAAAAAAAATTGGGTACTCAAATATAAAGTGAATGGCCCACTCCAATAGTATTAAGATTTTGGGTTCATTACCTATGTAAGTAGCACAATTTTAATATACCTTAGTCAACATTCTCTAACATAGGATGCTATCCAAGGATCATTTTGCATGTCAAAAAATTTGAGGTCATTTTACACGTGCATGATACTAATTGAAATAACAGCCAAGAATAAGATCATGGAGTCGTTTTCATTGTGCTGAATATTGAAAATAAAGGGGTGGGCAACCTAAATTGAAGTAGGTGAGAGTTTGTTTTTGCTTGTAACTCTTATAGTTTTCTGCGGTGGGAATTCAATAAGTTTTCTCTAACGTGGCAAAGAGCAGATGGAGCATGATTAAGCAGTTAGATTATAATATATTAATATCTACAAGCAATAGCTAAGGTGGCATTTACCGCTAGCTTCCAAAAGTGAAGGCGGATATTAAAATCTTTCTAGAAAAAGGGTCCAAAATCATACCTTCCATCAACAAATCTGTTAGTATCCCGCCAACCTAACTCCGAGAAGCAAACCTCAACCAAGGTCCGTCCACCTGGTAATGGTTCACTCTTGCTAGAAATTTCTGGTAAATAATTCGATAATGGATTAGATATAGTGGCTTCATCTATACTATGTAGCAATAGGAACCATTCCAAATTTAACTTACTTTCTGAAGCAGCAGGCATCCCCATCTTAGAAGCTGATAAATCATCTCTGAAATGAAGTCCCACCAAAAGACTATAATCCATTATACCTACTGCTTCCAGAAATTCACAATCCCGTTCAATTTGCCTACATAAACAAACATATTAGAATGACTGACAAAGCATAAGCCTATAAAGGGAAAATCAGCCACATCTTCTTATACCAAATAAGTTTCTTGAACCAAGTTGATTGCAAGCGGAATACAAAATTAAGATCCAAATCCTTCAGAGTTGTGGTCTCATCAATCTCTTCCTCAGCTTTCTCTGTAGTCCGGCCATGAGATGAGCCTTTTAGGTCGAAGCGTCTATGAATTCTATACTCTGAGCAGAATAGGTTGCCCATTACAATGAAACGAACCTGATAAAGAGAATGTAAAGTAAGAACAGATGATAATTGAGGATTGTGTAAGCAGAAACAAAGACCTAACACATCAAGCATTGCAACATATCAGCACCTTCTGTCCACCATTTGGCTTCACGCAATGCACCCCATAGAACTTTGTAACTAATGAACTCTCATACTTGCAAATATGTTGGTAATAGCTAGCTAGCATCCTAATGAGAACCTGCACAAGAAATAGAAAGCAAACTAAGGTAATAGCAAACAGAATTCTACAAACTATAGCTAATCTTTTCTGGCGGTGAGGCACATTAGAAGAATTAAAAAATATGATAAGCATTATGCAAGTTCATTTTTTTAACACAAGAACATTTTTTAACAAAATAAAAATTGCGCCTGCTTATTTATTACAAAGAAATAAGAATATTAGAGAATTAACACGAGAGTTATATTCCAAAGGAACTTATTAGGTATATTATTAAATGGTGGCAAAAATCAAGAATCTAATTATTCAAATAAATAGAATTATAATTGGGTTGCATGAGTGCAAGCTTTACCCCAAACAACTTTTAGACTAATCTGGGAAAACAGATTCGCCAAGTAATCGGTACATAATAGTCAAACTCAATTTGAAAACAACTAAATATATAAATAATCTGTAAATAACAGTATAATAATATTCTAGAGAATATTTCATCAGAAAATAATTATGTCAGAGGACATCTTTCCGACTACTTGAAACGGTGAAGAGAAGGAAGGGTGACATTTATATAACAGGATACCCTAATAAATAAAACTGCGCTGAAAAACTGGGTATCCGACCTTGACTTCTGATTTCTTCACTGTTTTGATCATGAAGCGATCATCCTGAGTTAGATAGAAGAAGCTTCCGCTCTTTCCCGGGGAAGATAGCTCTCTCAGAGCATCATTACCGCATATGGCCATCATATAATCGGCTGGATCCACTGCAAACAATTTTCTCAGATGTCTGCAACCAAAAGACCAAAGAAGTTAATTCCCATAATGAAAGGAAGAAAATTAGGAAATATATTCATCAAATACCAAATTCACAACGTAAGGAACTCGGTGAGAAGAAAAAAACAGTGTAAAGAGTACCACAATGTGAATCAGTACCTGAACACCATGGGGCAGTAGTCTTTCCACCTGAACTCTGCTGTCTGGTGGGGCGGGGTAATCTTTGATCCTTCAGGAGGAAATCTTGTCCAATATTTTTCCCTTGGATCAAAATCACTGGATCTTAGCTCCCTCATCTGCAATGCAGCTGGTTTTCCCACAGAGTATCTGCAACCAAAACCACATCAGCAACCTTTGCAATTAAGGGATAGAAGAATCGGAAAGGAAAACACGCAATAGTACCTGATGCCCAATTGAAGGTTAAGCATCAGATCGTAGTTCTTATGCCCCTTCGATATTGTTTGCCCCGGCTTCTTAAATTCGCTAGTAGTAAAACAGCAAGGATTTCGGCGCCGGAGCTCCCTAGAAAGATCACTTTCCTGGGAAAACTCTGTTCCGTCCTTGTAGAGCATGGAGGCCTCAAAAGTATCGATAATATCGCAGGTGATGTCACCTGCATCACCATCGGACTCCCATATACAGATCCTAGGGAAGTTCTTCTCAGCGGCACTGCACCTGGCCAGGGTAACGTCAACAGACGACCGCTTCCTTGACGCTGGAAACGGAGGCAGATTGTCCTCCAGGTAAGAGAATGAACTCCTACTAGCACCTCCGGAGAGTGTGGCAGCAGGGTAGAAGGTTCCGTTGAGCTGCTGCTGGCTTTTGAGGTCCTTGCTCCAGCTTCCAACGTAGCAGCTGCCATCAGGCCAAGTGAAGACACCGCTCCCTTTGGGCACGCCATTATCCCACTGACCATCGTAACGGTTGCCGTTGCCCCAGATGAGCACTCCCCTGCCGGTGATTACGCCGTTGCGCCACTCTCCAATGTATTGGTTACCATTGCGCCAGACGTAGCGGCCTTGACCGTCCTGCAGGTTTCGCCGCCACTCCCCCTCGTAGAAGTCACCGTTCGCGTAGGATTTACAACCAAAGCCGTGCTTCCGATCGGCGATCCAAGAACCACGGTACGTGTCACCGTCGGCACCGATGAACGTCCCGAAACCCTCCATTCTCCCGGTCTTGAACTCTCCTTCGAAGGTCGCACCCGACGGCCAAGAGAACTTCCCCTTCCCGGCAGCCTTTCCTCGGCGCCAATCACCCTCATACATACAACCGTCAGTCCAAAGATACTTTCCCCGGCCGTGCGGTTCGTTTCCGGCAAAAAGGCCGCAGTAGAGATCTCCGTTTGAGAGGACCTTCTCCACCTCCACCGCTCGGCCGCCCTCCGCCACCAACGTCGTCGGCGTCACTCTCCTCCCTCCTCCGCCTCCTGCCGATCTACTCCTTATAGCAGTGGCTGGCTTCGCTGTCCCTTCCGCCTCCACCTCCACCTCCACCTCGCCTCCGGCACTCTCCAAGACCCAGCCTCGGTTAACCCTAGCCGTTCTTCCGTCTGCCAGAACCTGGCGCCGCATTCTCTGCACTCCGCCACCGCCGTCAGACGCCGCTGATCGGGCCCCACATTCTTCCAGATCGTACTTAGGTTTACTTTATCCCACCCTAAATGCTCCGTCTCGCCTATCTTCCTCAGGAGGCCCTTGCCTTGGGCAAGAAGCAGCAGATCCTCTTGTTCAACGAGCAAAGAGAAGAGAGAGAAAGAGAGTGATTACTGCTTAGAAGACTCTCTTTGTAAAATTATAAACAAAAAACAAAGAAGCGGAAGGAAAAGCTAAAGCTGGAAGAAAGGGGAAGGGGAGAGAGAGAGAGAAAGAGAGGGGAAGAAAGAGGTGGGGGATTTGCTTTGGCTCGCTGCAGTTGCCCTCGGCCTAGGAAACGTTGCAGAAGAAGAGGAGAGAGGGGGCATCGTAATATAATCCGGCACAGCTGTTCAGTCACAAAATGACACAATTGACCTTCTGCTGCCTGTCAAATGCCCTTCCCTCCATGTTCCATGTTTTCCTATCATCGACGAAGGGAATTCCTATTCTTCTTGTGCTGCATTGTATCGATAGCTTGGTTGAATAATGGGATCAATTTTAAATTTGATTTTGATTTCTATTAAATTGATAAATATTTTTCAAAAAAAATATTATTTGCGAAATGAAATAAAAAATAATTAAATTTTAAATTAAAAAAAAAATAAATTTTCGTTTCAAGAACTACTTAATTAAAATTTTCAGCAAAACTTTGCTCAAATTCTTGATTTCCATTTAAATTTTGAAAATTTTGCCATGAGCTTCATCATGAAAATTTAGTATTATTTTCAACTATCATTGATTAGGCAACTCAACTTAGCTATATTAGTTCAAAAGTTTTGGCTATTAACTAACAGATTTTTGGTTTATGTCTTACGTATGTGATATGTGTACGAATTTGTTAAGATTAACCTAAAAAAATTACCATTGATTCATATGACTCATATGAAAGATTTAGACTTAGGCTTCGTTTGGGACGGCTTTTTTATTGCTTTCTAAAACGGAGTTTTAATACAAATTTTTTTATTTTTATACTAAAACTTCATTTTAGAAAGCAATGAAAAAGCCGTCACAAACGAAGCCTTAGTTTGGGATGACTTTCTTACTGCTTCTTAAAGCAGCTTTCTATTATAAAAGTTTTAACTTTTATAATAGAAATCTGTTTTAAGAAGCAGTAAGAAAGCCGTCCCAAACGAAGCCTTAAATTTTATATTTAGATAAGTAAATTTGAACAAGGTTTGTAACAAATTGAGCCAGACCAAAAACCAAGTGTCTACAAGCAAACAATTAAAATTCAAAAATTGAATTGTATATTACTAGTCAAACAATAATAGTCATATCATGAAACTCTAATAATAATGGTAGCAATTGTTAAGGATGGCCGATAAAGATAATTTTCAAAAAATGCAACAAAGTACCTTAGCTCTTTCAGCCACTCAAAATCCCTTTTATCGAAAGAATGAGATCATATTTATAGCATTTATATAAGAGCATTCTGCCAAAAAATCAAAACACTCCATCATATGGCACGTATTAATCCTTTTTATCATAGATCATTTATGAAACATCTGAATTCCTTTACGATTCCATAATCAAATGATCTTAAGTTTATTAGATTTGTCTTATCGAACAATTCAATTTTATTATAAGCATGACATAATTTAAGACCTTTTAGTTCTTCAATTAATTAAGATGTTTTTAAATAAATTTCAAATATTTAACTTAAGCTCTGACCAAATTATACGTTCAATCAGACAAATTTGTAGAAATTGAAGTTCTGATGATCTTTAATTAATTCTGAAAAAAAAAATTATCATATTATCTTAAATTTCACGCCGATTTTCTTTATTTTGTTTTCCTTTAGAACACCTGGAGTGGAATTAAAAAGATATTTGAAAAGGACATTTGAATAAAACCCGATATATTCTTTGAACCTTTTCAATTAATTGGAGACACGTTTACGGTTTAGCTCATGCCCAAAGGAATATCTCCTATCTTAGTAGAAATCGCACTGATTGCAGGCCACGTATTATAATGATTCAAAAAATATAAATTATGTAAGCATGATATTTAATTATTTAAGAGTAGCTAATGAATTTATTTGATTAATAAGATTTATCAATTATAAAATATATTGAGAATGGTTTTAATTAATTTCATAGTATTTTCTTGATTTCAATAGAGTATTATCGACCGGCCAGTTTAGTTTAATTAACAACATAATTTGAATTGACCACTGGGTTAATAAGATCAACTATAAATTGATAAAAGTAAATTAAAATTTTTAAAAAAAATTCTAAATTATTTTAATAGGTTTTTTATAAGCAAGTCAATTATTAGTTTGAATGGTTAATGAGTTGAGTTTGGGGCCGATTAAAACTAACCTGACTTGAAATTTATATAATTCGAATCTGATCAATTTAATAAATGGGTCATAATGATGAATCTGAATCTGACTTTTTAGAAACTTGACTGATATATTAAAAAAATTATGATTTTTTAACTATAAAGTAGAGATAAATTGATCGAAAAATAAGGAGATTATACTAACAAGTAAAATAATTTAAGAGAAATAAATTAAACTAATAATTTTCAAATCTGAAGTGGATTCGCTGGTCAATTTGAACCTAACCCGTTTTACAAAAAGGTCAAATTTCAGCCAAACTTGACCAGTTTTATCAAACGGGTCATCCTGAACTCGGATTTTTCAAGTTAAGATCTGATCTAGTTGGCGGATCAGATCATTTTTTGACACATCTACTATCCATAATTTACTTATTATTTATTGATGTAGGGACCAATATTTAACTTGGTTTAAGATCGATAAATGGGATGAGTAAGTCAAGTGATTTGATAAGAATATGAGAAGCATGTGCAACTAAATAAAATAGCTCAATTGAGTGGGTAAGGATGTGCATATAAATAGAAGGAATCTGAAAAGGGGGTGAGTGGTGAATTGGATGTGCACAAATACTTTGGACTTATTTTAAACTTTTACTAATTTAAAACCCTCTTCATAAAATATAGAAACCAACTAATCAACCAACTAAAGCTATGTTTTTGGAACAACTTATTTATTGCTTTATAAAGCAGATTTTTAATACTAAAATTTGTAGTAAATAAGATATACTAAAAAATTATTTTAAAAGATAATAATAATGCTTTTCAAATGAAGCATAAATACACACAAAACAAATTTGTACAATATAATATAATTGGTATCCAAAATATGTATGATTAATATAAATTAGTGTACAAAATTTAATTATAATCTAAATGATATACATGTAAAAATATATTTATGTTTAAATTAACCTACAAATGTGACATTATATAAGTGAATTATGGTGTGCTCTATGTGATTAAGGTTTTGTTTGGGATAGCTTCATTACTGCTTTTCATCCTGAACTCGGATTTTTCAAGTTAAGATCTGATCTAGTTGGCGAATCAGACCATCTTTTGACACATCTACTATCCATAATTTACTTATTATTTATTGATGTTGGGACCAATATTTTATTAGAGAAATAAATATTACTGTAAATAGTTTTTGTATAGCTTATTTTTATGTAGCCTGTTATACTTCTGTATCTTGTAAAACTACCTATATATAGGTATATGTCTGTACCGTGATAAACATTTTGAATAATATTTTCACTTTCTCATCTTCTTCTTTACATCACGGTTCAACCAATGTTCTTCTCAGGTGGAACTCTTTGATTCCACCGGTCTTTACCTTTCTTCATATTTAACTTGGTTTAAGATCGATAAATGGGATGAGTAAGTCAAGTGAATTGATAAGAATATGAGAAGCATGTGCAACTAAATAAAATAGCTCAATTGAGTGGCTAAGGATGTGCATATAAATAGAAGGCATCTCAAAAGGGGGTGAGTGGTGAATTGGATGTGCACAAATACTTTGGACTTATTTTAAAATTTTACTAATTTAAAACCCTCTTCATAAAATATAGAAACCAACTAATCAACCAACTAAAGCTATGTTTTTGGAACAGTTTATTTATTGCTTTATAAAGCAGATTTTTAATACTAAAATTTGTAGTAAATAAAATATACTAAAAAATTACTTTAGAAGGTAATAATAAAGCTTTTCAAATGAAGCATAAATACACACAAAACAAATTTGTACAATATAATATAATTGGTATCCAAAATATGTATGATTAATATAAATTAGTGTACAAAATTTAATTATAATCTAAATGATATACATGTAAAAATATATTTATGTTTAAATTAACCTACAAATGTGACATTATAAGTGAATTATGGTGTGCTCTATGTGATTAAGGTTTCTTTTGGGATAGCTTCATTACTGCTTTCTAAAATAGCTTTTTAATATAAAAATTTTGTGTTCAAATAATTTTGTAGTAAAAAGCTGTTTAGAAAGCGGAAAAAAATGTCTCAAATGAAACCTAAGTCAAACTATTAAGCACAATGAAAATGAGCACTTAAGTGCACAAGTTATGGCATTTAAACCACAACTACTAAAGATAATCAAGTACATACATAACAAATGGTGATATAAATAGGTGTAAAATAATAATTGAGAGAAATGAATATTAAAATATAAGCAATTATATCTACTTAACATAAATAACAAGCATAATTCATCTAACTACCACCACACTAACATTTAAGCAAATTCCCCCCCCAAAAAAAACATTTAAGCAAATGAGATATAAATGAGAACGTGCCAGGAATGCAAATCTAAACTAAGATTGGATGATAATTTTGTTCTTTTTTAGATTAAGGGTTCGTTTGGGACGGCTTTCTTACTGCTTCTTAAATCAGCTTTTTAGTACAAAATTAAATTTTTTTGTACTAGAAAGCTGCTTTAAGAAGCAGAAAGAAAGCCGTCCCAAACGAAGCCTAAGCCTTCTCTAGGGATTATTTTCTTACTGCTTCTAAAAGCAGCTTTCGTTCTTTAATTTTCGTACTAAAAAGCTACTTCAAGAAGCAGTAAGAAAGTCATCCCAAATGAAGCGTTAGACTAAAGCTTCATTAATTTTAACTTTTGTGCTAAAATCTACTTTAAAAAGCAATAAGAAAGTCATCCCAAATGAAGCCTAAGACTAAGGCTTTGTTTGAGACGACTTTATTGTTACTTCTTAAAATAGCTTTCTAGTACAAAATTTAAAATTTTTGTATTAAAAAGCTGCTTTAAGAAAAAATTAAAAATCCATCCCAAGGCTTCATTTGGGACAGCTTTTTGAGTACTTTTTAAAGCAACTTTTCATTACAAAAAATAATTTTACAAAATAATAAGGAAGCTGCCACAAACGAAGCCTAAAGCTTCATTTAGAATAATTTTCTTTTTGCTTTCTACATTTTATTTTTAATACATAAATTTCTTAAAAGTATTGAAAATAGTAACTTGTTGCGTCCAGGAGATTCGCGGCGGTAGAGAAATATAAAGTTTATCGTCTTAGCGTTGTACGAAAATCCGGCACGCAATC